CGGGATCGCGCTGTAGCTACCAGCTCCCGCGTGCCGCCAGCTGTCCTGCCCCCGCCGCGGGGGCTGCCTGTGCCCCCGGGGAGCGTCCCCAGCTGGCCCCGGGTCCCGCCCCGCGTCAGTCCCTGCGAGGGTCCCGGGCTGCGTGCGCTCCACCGGCCCCGGGGCAGCAGAAACGGGGTGATTGCCTGGCTGAGTCAATGCCCGTACGTGGCACTACCGCGGCGGCAGCGCAGCAAGCTCCCTCCCTGCCTTTGGCACAGCAAGGTTGTGCCAAAGTTGTTGCCGGTGGAGCTCTGTCCATCCGGGGGCTGGGGCCAGCTGCTGGTTGCACTGGGGCTCGGTGCTGCGGGGGTCTCCAGGCCGGGGTGCCGCGGGTGTCGCGGGGCCTGGCCATAACGTGCCGGCGGGGTGAAGCAGGGATGAGCCGCACGCAGCCCCACGTCGCCCCGGAGGACCCACAGCCCCCGGGGAAGGGGAGGTGCGCGGGGGCGGCCAGCAGCAGCCTGTTTGCCGAGGTTTCAAGGAGCGAGGCTCTGCCTGCCCGTCCCACGGGAAGCTGCCCTGGAGCCCCGGGGACAGGCGGATCCCCCCACGCTTTGGGACCCTGCTGGGCGAGGGGCCCCTCTGCCACGCCGTGCGGACCCCGGTGCCGCTCGTGCCCTGGCAGCTGCCTGCTTCTGCCTGCTCCTGCCATCACAGCAGCCAAGCTCCCTTGCTCCCCTCGCTCTCGTGCAGCGCGTCCCTGGTGTCCCCGGGTGGGACGTGCCCTGTCCCCCGTGGGGGACGCGGCAGGCGGCTCTCCCAGTGCCCTCCCTGCGGGTCTGTTATCTGCGGGCCCTGCTATCCTGGTATCCGCTGCCTGCAGGGCCAGGCAGGGCTATCGGGTCCGGCAGGCCCCTTCCCCCTCCAGCAGCAGGGCCCGGCCTCCCTATCTCATTAGCTCGAGATTAATGAGGCTCCTGCGCTGTCTTTAACTCCTTCCTGCTCGCCAGCTCCTGCCGGCAGCGCCACTGACCCTCTCCTCCGCTTCTCCCAGCAGGTTTGCGCCGACGCCTGCCGGAAGCCGAGCCGGCCGAGGACTAGAGACGCCTGGCCCCGAGCGGAGGGACGCCGTGTTGACCCCGAGGCTGCCGTCCCCCGGAAAGTGCCCGGTCGGCGAGGGAGGGGACGATGTGCCGGGCTGCCGCCGCTGCCTGTTGAGCCTGCGGAGGTTTCGGTGCCTGCCTGGGGCGCACTCAGCCGACGGCGGCAGCACCCTGATCCCAACGAGTGGCCCCGTGCCTGCGGATCCCGTCGGAGCCCTTGAGCAAAGGAGACATTGGAGCAAGGCTGAGGGGGTCAGGGGACACGTCCTTCTGCCCTGACCTGGCAGCGATTCCTGCCCTGACAGCCTGACGGTGCTGCGGACGCTCCGCTGCCCTCGCCCCCGGCAGCCCCCTGGCAGGGCTGCCTGCTCCGGCGCTGCCCAGCCTTGGCCTCCAGCCCCGCTGGAGCACGGCAGCCTGCCGGGCGCTGCCCCCCGCGCCTCCCGGGCATTGCCCCCCGGGTGCATCGCCCCCCGCTCCCCCGGGGACCCGCCGCCCGCTGGCAGAGCCATGAAGCTGCAGGCGGTGATGGAGAACTTGCAGCGGCAGCAGCGTGCGCGGCTGCAGCAGGCGCTGGAAGCGCGGCAGCAGGAGCAGCAGCAGCAGCAATGCTCCACGCCACCCCCCGCGCAGCCCCCGCCGGCCCCGGGGCAGGCCCCCGCCAGCACCCCGGCCCGGGGCCGCGGCCAGGATCCGGCTGTGGCACCCTCGGAGGAAGGAGCAGAGCCCGAGAGCGCCCACATCCAACGGGCGCAGATGGCCGCCCTGGCTGCCATGCGGGCAGCGGCCGCTGGCCTCAGCCACTCGTCCAGCCCGGGGCTGTCGGATGAGAGCCAGGCCTCCGAGGAAGAGGAGGAGGAGCGTGGCGAGGAGGAGGAGGAGGAGGATGGCGGGTACCACCAGGAGATGGGCTCCGAGGAGGATGAGGAGGATCTGTGAGTATACGCTAGCACAGGCTAGCAGCTCTTAGGGGTTTGGGGAAGGGGCAGGGACGCGGTCTGGCCCCAGTGGGCGTTGGCATGGCCGGCTGGGGACACAGGCTTCCCTTTGGGGCAGGGGAGCGGTGGTGGAGGCTGCCGGGGGCCGCCTGTGCTGTGCCGGGCGGCCGGGTTTGTGCAGCTCGGGGCAGGGAGGGGGGTTAGCGCCATCGGGATGCAGGAGGTGCGGAGAGCGGCAGCTCGGCTCGGCAGCCGTGATTCCTCATGCCGGGCTGGTGTGGGGCAACCTTTCATCTCTGCCCAGGGAGCCACGTGGGGCCGCGACAGAGGATCCTGCTCTGGCTTTAAATTATGCAGGGCCCTCGCAGCTGCCTCCTCCCAGCCCGCGTCCTCGCCGGGGCAGGGAACAGGCTGGGAGCCATCTGGCAGAGCTCCGCTCGCTGCCGGAGCAGCCGTGATTCCTCATGCCGGGCTGGTGTGGGGCAACCTTTCATCTCTGCCCAGGGAGCCACGTGGGGCCGCGACAGAGGATCCTGCTCTGGCTTTAAATTATGCAGGGCCCTCGCAGCTGCCTCCTCCCAGCCCGCGTCCTCGCCGGGGCAGGGAACAGGCTGGGAGCCATCTGGCAGAGCTCCGCTCGCTGCCGGAGCTGCTGTCTTGGGATGCCAGTGGCTGACAGTCCCCCACGTGGGCCCCCCGCCGACGGGGTCTGCCGGGGCTTTGCTGGGTTCCCCGTGTGCCGGGTGGGTGGTCCCAGCCCCACGGCTGTGGGGCGCCCGTGGGGCAGGCGGGCGGGGGAGAGGGATTGGCTTTGGGGACCCAGCCCCCTGCCTAGCGTGGGACCAAATCTCTCCTCTGCTCCCTGCTCTAGGAAGGGCAAGTGGGATGAAGATGACTTTGAAGAGGACCTGGGCGAAGAGGAGGAGGAAGAGGAGGAGGAGGAGGAGGAGGAGGAAGAGGAAGACTATGAGGAGGAGGAAGACATGGGAGAGGAAGGGCTCAGCTCGGCAGAGGCGGTGCGGGCGGGTGCAGGATCGCTGCTGCTCCGCAAGCCCCCGGCGCCCCAGCACTACCGGGGCGAGCCACAGCGGCTGCCGGGCGGGCAGGAGCGGCTCCCCTCCGGACTGGGCCACGCGCAGCCCCCGCCGCCGGCGCCCGACCACGGCGACTGGACCTACGAGGAGCAGTTCAAGCAAGTAGGTGCCTGCAGAGACGCGCGTGTCCCCCCGCGCCCGTACCCCCCCGCTCCTCAGCTCTGCCCTGCGTCCCTGCGAGCTGCGGCGAGACGCCTCTGGCAGTGCTGCCTCCGGCAGCATTCTTCTCCGATTGAGCTGCGTTGTTGCCGCTATGAAAGTGTGGGATTTCTCCAGGGTTTTAGTGCTTGGGCTCAGCCTCGCCCCCTCCCCGTCACATTGGTCGGTGGCTCCGGTGGGATCCTGCGTCTCAGTTGGCACCGTGGCCTGGCCCCAGTGCAGGCAGACAGTGTGATGGGGTTTGCCGCGGGGTCCTGGGAGGATTCTTGCTGAAAATGATGGAAAAAACCACCCCAAACTTGCAGATCTGAAGGGACTCTTGGTTTTCCTCTTCTCCACCCTCCCTAAGCCATTTTTGGTGGGGACCTGGCTTCTTCCCCATCACCATCACCGCAGAGGTGATGCCGGGTGGGACGGCTCCGGCCCTGCGGATGCTCTGCCCCCCTGCCACTGCCAAAATGCCATTGAAAAGTGAAACCGGGGAGAAAGCACCCCGGCTGCCCCCTCCGCCGCCTTCCCTGCACCGGCTGAGCCGGGCTGGCAGGAGGCAGGCATGCTCCCGCTCTCTCCCGGTGCTGGACCTCGCTGTGCCCCGCTTTCGGCTAATAGAAGGAAATGTGCTGTGAGCTGGGGCTCCCCGGGGGCTGCCCAGTGCCTTTGATGTGTATGTTTAAATACATCTGAGTTTCGGGCTGGGGGAAGGGACGGGAGCCAACAGCAGCAGATGGGACCCAGATGGAGCAGCCAGGGCGCGGTGGCCTTTCGGGAGGGATGCGACGGCCCCTGCCCCTTCCCCAAAAGGGGGAAGGGGCTGCCGGGATCTGCCGGCACATCTGGATGTGGGCAGCCTCATGATGGGGCTGGTGGAGGAAGCACAAGTGAACGTGGAGCGTGCGGCCGCCGTCCCTGGCGCGATCCTGCCCGGCTGCGGGGAAGGAGGGATGCTTCTGTCCCGCGGGTCCCTCGTGCCGCTGCACCCACGCTGCCTCTTCTTGTGGTTTCTCTCTTTTGCGCTTCCTGCCATCGGGGAGCGAGGGGCTGGGGACGTGATCTCGTATCTGTGAAAAGGCTTTTTTGATACCGCAGCTGTGATCTTCCTGTTTGTCACTGGTTTGATGCTGTACTGGACCTGTGCGCCAGCTCTGGGGGCCTGGCAATCACTCCCAGCCCTCGGGATCCAACAGGAAAACCTGGGGCTGGGTGGCTGGCAGTGCCTGCAGGACCTGTGCCACGCTGCCACAGTGGTCCATAGATGTGCCACAGATCGTGCCGTAGTCTCCGTTAAGTCCCCCGCTGCAGGGCTTGGGGCCACCAGCCCGAGTCCCAGCGCATCCTCTGCCCCCTCCCCACCTCTTCCCTCTAAGCTGTGCTGGTGAACGGGGCTGAGCCACCGCGCTCCCCTGCTTTCGCTTCCCAGCAGAAAGCTTCCCGGGGTTGGCAGGGAGAGCCCTGCATGGCAGTTAATCGTGGAAGCAGCCGGAGGGGGGAGGAAAGCGGCTGCCACCGCTGTGCCGTGGGCAGAGGAGAGGAGGCGAAGCGTCCGACCAGGAGAGGCTTTCCCCGGCACGTCAGCCCGCCAGCGTGCCGGTGCTTGGATCGCGGCCGCTGGACCCGGGCCAGGGGTTTGCTCGGCGCGGCGCTGGCTGGGTGATCCTCCTGGCCCCCCTCCACCCCGCGCCCCCCA